GAGGAAGAGAGCTATTACCAGACATAACTTTTTATACAGGAAAGATTTATCTGCATGACATGGCAAACATCTGTTTACCAAACATTTACTCTCTCATTTTCCTGTGAATTATTTCCCTCCCCTTTGAGACACCAGACCCCTACCACCTTCTGCTTCACTCAGGTATATAAGCCTCAGTTGCCTGACTACCTTAAAGTCTCATGTTTTTGTGGGTCTCCTCTAAGTAGGTAATTCAATGTTTTCTTTCTCCCATTGATCTGTCTTATGTCCATTTTATTATTAGGCTGCCAAACAACCTAGAAGGGAAGAAGAAAAAATGTTTTCTTTCCTACACTTGGCTGAGGGTCTAGATTATTCTAACGGGTTAAGTGCACACATATATCTGGACTAAAAAAAAAGCATGGATTTCATGGTAAAAAGTAGTATTAAAAGAATGCTTTTTACAGGTGTAATAAACAAGACAACAGGCCCAAAATGGAGTCACTTATGCTAAGCCCTACATAACCAAATGGAGGCTTAATTACAATTTTGGCTTTCCCATAAATGGAATCTTAAGTCAGTCAATAAGGAATTACCTGATCAGCAACAGCTAGGTAATCCACCAGATAAACCCCTGCCATTCCCTAAAGGAAAGTGACCTTGCCATAACCAATTCACATTTTTGCCTAGTATAACTTCCTTATTCCCACTCCCTTCTGCCTATAAAAGTCTTTCATTTAATTTACTTAGTAGAATTTAGTTTTTTAACACAGTCAATATTACTCTGTAAAAATTTTCTTTTATTGAAAATCCAGTAGTTTACACATTACTTCATTTTTCCATCCAGAAAAGATTATGTGTGTATTGTGGGGTAAAGAACAGGACTACTTTATATTGATATCATTTAAGAATTAGGATTTTCTGTTTTGGACAAGGGGTAGAGAGATATAAGCTCAAAGAGGTTAAGGAAAAATCCTAGAATACTGAATTTTTTGGGAAGTATTGATATGAACTCATAATGGCATTTTAAAAATCTTTTTTTATTAGCTTTTAATAAGAAAGAAAGTGGCCAACCTAGTGACCAAGTTGTGGTCTCTAAAATTCTTTTTAACTAAATAAATCCATGGCTTCTCGGATATGACTGATTCTAGTTCTACGCCAAGAAATACACTAGATGACCCTGGGTTCATCTTATCATGTAATGAAGCAGAAAATGTTTTCAAAGACCCCTAGGGTCATGTAAGTGATCAGGAAACAACTTGAAGACTGTCCCACTGACTCAAAGATAGAAAAGCTTGATTATCAAGAAGAAGAATTGCAATGGATTGAGATATATCACATTTATTTAAATTCATGAGCTCATAATGGTATTAAAGAGAATAATAACAATAACTGACTAACATTATAGGGTTCTAGAGAAACCAGTCATTATTTTGAAAACTGGAAAGAAGGTTAAGAATCAAGAATCTGTTTTGCCTTACTGTGCAAACCATATTTCTGGATAAGTATTTAAATGAGAATGGGATGTCTCTTTAGAAGAGTATCGTGGTCTTAATGAAAAGAAAGGATGGATTAGAATATCACCATTTGTAACCACTGGTGAAATCATGGATTTAGGCAACAATCACAAAACGGAAGCAATTAGACATAGAGACCTCCTGATGGAAAAATAGCAAGTAACTACAGCATATTCTTGCCAAAAATCAACCTTAAACTGATCAAACTTCTAGATCCGAGTACTAATTTACAGAAAATATATGAGCAGAGGAAGATGTTCAATATGATTTCAAGGACGTAGTCAATAGGATCCAGACTATGGGATACTGATTAAACAAAAAGTCTGATTATTTTTAACAGATAAATTGTAAGTAAAAGACAAAAGAGAGATGGAGAGTCATTTATTTGATCTTCACTTTCCAATACTGGAGCCACTTTCTATATGTGGCTATTTAAATTTAAATTCATAAAAATTAAATAAAAAATTCAGGTCCTCATTCACATTAGCACATTTCAAGGGCACAATAGCCACAAATGAAGACCATGAATACAAAACTTTTCTATTATCACAGAAAGTTCTACTCAACAGCAATGCTACTGACTGTAAGAAAATTCATTGTTGTATCAACTAAATGTACTGCGTGGATTTCATTAGGATCCTATTTCTATACATTTAAAACACATACATACATTTATATGACAAGCAGAAAAATTTTAACAAGGACCTGATATTTAATTATATTAAGGAACTATAGTTATTTTTAATGGTTTGGAATGAATTGTGGTATGTTTTAAAAGAGCTTTTACTTTTTAGAGATGAATATGCTAGTGTATATGTATATGAAATAGTATGATGTCTTGAGTTTGCTTTAAAATTCACACAATTGGGAAAACTGACTGGGAGTGTATTTGAGGCATGTTCGCCCATATACTAATAATTATTGAAGCTGTGCAACATGATGATTTGATAGATGTAAATACTGTGAAAGGATAGTCACAATTAAGTTAATTAGCACATCCATGGACTCACTATAGTTAGTTACTGCACCATACACTTGCAGTTTTCTGAGGGTAGATCTTAAACGTTCAAATCACAAAAATAATTGTTAAATTTTTTGAAGAAAACCTTAAATGTGTAGGAATGTAGGTTTTTCAAATTTCTTTTAAGAGTAATATGAGCAAAAGTTTGGAGACCATTGTTCAAGTACTCAAGTGCGTGAAAATTACTGTTAATCATGCAGATTTGACATTCTCCTACCAGAGATTCTAATTCAATGGGTCTCTTCTCAGAGTTCACTTGGAATTGTATCTCTTTATATTGTGAGTTCTCAAAATGCAGTCAATGAAATGTCTTCTCTGATGCTACCCCTTTAGGAAGCTCCTGAATAGATTCTAAAGTGAGTGTTCTTCAGCAAAACTTTGAGAACTAACTTCTTCTCTAAGCGCCTGCATTGCCCTCTCAAACTACCTCTTGCAACAAACGGGGCTCAAGCCTAGAAAACCACACAACAGGTGTCCCAGCCCAAATCTTCAAAACCCTGAGACCCTTTCTCAGAGACAGAGTCTATGTTAGGATGCCCAATATATAATTTTCTGCCAGTTTTAATTTACTCCATTTACCCTACCTAACTTCCTTCTAAGATTGCAGGATGTGGCTGAACAACTGTTCTCTTTATGATCTCTCCAATAGATTTCTTCTTAGATGGTGGAAACTTAGAGAATCTTGGCATATATCAATCCAAGTATTAGAAATATAGATTGCTTTTATTATTTAAACATTGTAAAACAGGCTGAAATCCCTATAAGTCTTCATAATATACCAAAACATAAATCACCTATTTCCACATTATTTCTACATTAACATAATATCTGGAAAATATTACATTTGTCTTATTTTGGTTTTGCCGATAAGTAGATAGAGGGAAAAATAAATAAAAGTACAAGTACTTGGATTCATTGCTCACAGGTTGTATTTTACATAGCATACAATACAAGTATTTGAGCACAATCAAAAAGTTCTTTCTATCTTATTATTTTTATGAAACTCATACATGTTTCACTACTTTGAATATGGTCTAATTATCCATCTTCTCAGATGTCTGAATGACAATGTCACACTTACAAAGAATGATGATCATTATTAATCTTTGCTAAGCCACCTGCTTATTGACTGAAGAGTCAAAGGAACTTGTCACTGTCTCATGCTCTATTGACTGGGGGATTAGAGGTCAGATCAGAAGGAGAGAGTGATGTACTAGTGAGAAGCAAGAGATTTAGAAAATAAACTGTCACTCATGAGCTCTAATGGAGCAGTTTCTGTATTTGTAGAACTGAGACAAAAATAAGGTAGGTAACACAAAGAAAGACGCATGATTCTGCCTTCACAAAAGCTAATGTTAAGTTTGATTTTATAAATAGGATATATGTCACTTCCATTTCTCGTTGCTCACACCTTGCTTTTAATAACTTTCTCACTTGCCTTCTGCCATTGTTTTTCTCTCCTCATATTCATTCTATATATTGAGGATGATCTTCTGAAAGCTATTTCTTTGTTAATGTTACCATAATAAAAATCTCCAGCATGTTTCCATTAGCTATTAATTGAGACACAAATTGCTTGCATCAATAAGCAATACCTCTGGGTATACAGGTTCTAACCAGTTCATCAGCATTCCTTTGCAACACTTTTCAATGAAAGCCTTTTGCTTTAGCCAAGTTAGGATATACTTTTCAAACTTCACATGGTTTGCTTGGAGTAGTATGTCTTTTTATCCCTCAAAATATAGTTCAGTGCAATGGCTTCTCTGATGCTTTCTCAGGACAAACCATCCTGGAAAGACTTATCCCTTTGATGCTCTCTTAAGCAACCTTGTTCTAACACTGATATACTACTTGTCACATGATGTCTTTATGGGAGCTCTTTGTATGTGAATACACTGACGCATTCCCATGGTATGTTTGGGAAGAATCTATGAGAGTTAATCTTATGTTCAAAGGATAAGTAATCATTTGCCAGGTGAAAAAGATGTATGAAAGCTCAAGAAAGGATGTAGAGGTAGAAATGACAAAGGCAGTACATAGGGCCCCTTGTTTTTACAAGGTAACTTGCACTAGAAAGAAAACTAAATCAAGTTAGATATCATCTTTGAGTTTCAGTGTCCTTACCTGTAAAATGAGGACAGCAATTTTGTGATTATTAAATATGAGGCTATATTATAAAGAACAAAGCACAGTTACTAACACATAGTAAATGCGCATTGGCTCCTGGTTCCCTTTGTTTTCCTCCATCATCTTCTTCCCTAACTATGTCTCCCTAATTGCGTCATGTTACAGAATTCAGTAGTACTAAAAGTTTGGGTAATTCTAGAGTTATTTGTTCAACATTAGAAAAATAAGTGTACTGAAATTGGGCAACAGCCGCATTCTGGTCTTCTTTTAGCTAGAATTATGATATTGTACAAGTCAGTTCACATCTCTGTCACTCATTTTCTTCAACTATAAAGTAAGAATATTAGATTAGATACCTTTGAATCTTCCAGCAGCAGCATTCTATGACATCCTCACAGGCATTTTTCATAAGCAAAATGATTCCATTATGAAACACATGGAGACTCTTTTAGTCCAAAGCCATTTTCAAAGCATTTGTCATGTTTCTGGGGTTCAGTCCATTTTTTTTTCTTGCCTGCAAATACATAGAAGAAAATGATTAGTTACCCACAGTGCATAATATATGGGTGGATTTTCTGAGAAGCCAAGGAAGTTCAAACTTCAAGATCTCTCATGTGGATCCCTCCCAAGTTCCTAGGAGTTTCTGATGCTTGTGGCAATCAACAGATTCTAAAATTTGGAATTGTGTGTGTTTTCTTCTTAATTCTAGACAAACATTAACATTTGTACCTAATTTTTAATTATAATTTCTTATTATTCTTAAAAAGAACCATCCAGGCTTCCCTGGTGGCACTGTGGTTGACAGTCCGCCTGCCGATGCAGGGGACACGGGTTTGTGCCCCGGTCTGGGAAGATCCTACATGCCGCGGAGCAGCTGGGCCCGTGAGCCATGGCCGCTGAGCCTGCGCGTCCGGAGCCTGTGCTCCGCAACAGGAGAGGCCACAACAGGGAGAGGCCCGTGTACCGCAAAAAAAAAAAAAAAAAAGAACCATTCAGAGTTTTAAAGATCTAGAACTACCAGAACTTGGATCTGCCCTGTCTTGTTAGGTCCCTGTCAACTTGGCATTCCTTCTAGAAATGTACCATTAGAAAAATAAATAAGTAGAGAAGATAAAATTCCATACCTACATGTATACATTATGTTTAAAATACATACTAAAATTTAAAAGAGACACAATGAAATAAACATATTGTATACAAAAACTATTTTTTCATTAAGTGGTAAAGGGTGCAGTGAAATTTACCTTGCCTGAGATAACATTTTGTAAATATTTTTTTAATGTTTTTTCAGTAGTAATTACTAAGCATTGTTTATTTTAAATTCCTAAGTAAGCAAAAACATCTCTTAAATACATTTGAATGAAGGATGATGTTTAAAAGTTCTAATTTCACTAAGTCTAAGAGACATGTTTTTATGCCCAATTTAACATTTCTTAATTGATGGTGAGTTGGCAGTAATGATATAGTTGTCTTTACTTATACATGTGAAAACTTGACAAGTACATCTGATTCTATGACGGACAACTCTTTGAATTTTCAGTAAAGAGATCTCTTAAGAATGATTTGAAGAAGGATTATAATTCCAGGGTATTGTTTTTAAATATTCCATAATATATTGTGGCATGATTTTAATAATGTGTTGTCTATACATGTGGAAACTAGTTCGGTGGTTCATTATGAAGTTAACCAAAGAATTATCAAATGACCCAGTAATTCCAATTCTAGACATATATCCCAAAGAAATAAAGACACTCAAAAAAAAAAACCTTGAAAATGCACGATAATAGCAGAATCGCTCACAACAGTCAAAGGTAGAAACCACCTAAATATTTAACTGATAAACAGGTAAGTAAATTAGGCAATATGCATACAATATAATATCAGTCAGCCATAAAAAGGAATAAGTCTTAATACATGCTACAGTCTTGATAAAACTCAAAAACATTATGTGAAGTTAAAGACAACAGACACAAAACATCATATATTACCTGATTCCATTTATATGAAATATCCAGAATAGGTAAATCCATAGAAACAGAAAGCAGGGTGGTGGGTACCAGGGACTAGGGAGGCCAGGGGGAAAATGAGGAGTAACTGCTTAATGGATACAAGTTTTGTTTGGGGGAGCGATGAAAATATTTTGAAATTAGATAGAGGTAATGGTTATACAACATTGCGGAGGTGCCAAATATAACTGAATTGTTCACTTTAAGTGGTTAATTTATGTGACACACAATCAAAAAAGAAAAGTGCCAGTATTAAAATTTACCAAAGGAATATTGATGACTTAGAATAAAATTCTAGAGACAACAGGAAGCACTACTCTGAAAACGTTGCTTCAGTAACTCACGACGGTGCAGACGACAACGCTATGTGAAAAACCATGAACCTGAATCACTCTGGGTAGAAAACAAGAGTTTGATATGATTGTTATGAAGCTTTATAAAGACCTTAACTAATTCCTTAATTTATATTTCCTGTTTCATGTGTATACAAAAATGAGAAATAATATAAATGTATGTCTTGGGCTCTGGCCAAAAGAATAATATAAAATTCAAATTGAGAAGAAAATATTGCGTCATAGTTTCCTGGCCAGGTTTTTTTTCTTCTTAGTAGAACGCCGATAAAGATATACCTTTATAATCAAAATCATCTTTACTTCAATGAAATGCAGTATAGCACACTTTGAACAGAGTATTTGCTAGTTTAAGAGTCAGGTACCCGAGGCAAGGAGCTGGGGGAAATGGAAAGAGGGTGGGCAAAGTGTGCAAGTTGTAGTTATGTAGGATGAACTAATTCTAGAGATCTAATGTGAAGCATGTGACTACAGTTAGTACTAATATATTGTATCCTAATGATCTACTTAGAGAATGGATCTCAGGAGATGGATATACTAATTAGCTTGACTATAGTAATCATGTCGTTCTGTATATTTATGTCAAAACACCATGTTGAACACCTTAAACATTTACAATCTTTATTTATTAGAAAAAAGAATCCTGAGTAGTGACTGGCAGAGGGAAACATAAACTGGGTTTTTCTCTCCTGAGTGTTCCTCTCTGGACACAGAGGAGCAGACACTTTGGAAACAAAATCTTGGTGTAGGTGGGGCCTAAGCTAAACATGTTATTAAGAAGTGTGTGCACGGCATTTTAGTTTATATGAAAACAGCTAATGGTCCTGACCCTCTGACAGCGTTGGTCACACTCTAGAATTTCCACTTTCCATCTTAATCCTCATTCAGTCATCTTGTCTAATAAAAGTGTGTGCTAAATTAGCCTAGGAAAGTTTAATCCCAGTAAATGCAGTCAAAAGTTAATTTATTTGTGAAGATTCACAATGCAAATTATTGGTCTCCTCTTGATGCCAGTTACTTAGTTTCTAACTAGATTTTCATTTAAAAAAGACAAAAATTTACTTAATGTAAATTGCTCACTGCCTATTTTGATTTCATCAAAAGTCTATATGTAAACTAAATATCAATCTAAATAGCATAAGGGCCATAATCTTGTTAGCTGCTGGTGTAGTCTGAGTGTGTTTAGTGTGTAACATCAGTATCAAGTAAATTACTGATATTATATTTATGACTGGATAATGATAATACAGCTAACTCGATATCATAAAAACTTTACTCAACTTCTCAAAACTGTCAGGTTAAACAGGGTAGTTGAGTATGTATAGCAAACAACTGCTTTCAAATACCCAGTATTTGACTATTGCCATTTGGGTATACAACGCTTATATTTTGAGAAAGTAATTTAAAGTGCCGGAGTTTTATGATGATCAGATATAGTTCACAACAAAATAAGACATCTGAACACAATTTACCTAGGAGTACTGAATTATTCTATGGATACTCACGGATACATCTCAGCTGTCACTGAAATATTTTAAAATTTCTTTGCAAAATGATTTTAAATTTAAAATTAATATGGTTAAATGGATTGTGCCATTTTCTCTAAGTTCTTCTCAGATTGTGTACTTCACAGGAAACAGGGACATGATAACTCATGAGAGGACACACTGTTTTCTCTCTTCAAATATCAGCAAAGGTTTAATGTTTGCATTTATTTTAGAGAACACATTTTCTACTTTGATTGACCCATTTCCACTGTTTCTACATCTATGACCTGTTTGATAATTCATCTGTATGTTATGCTTAGACAAGATAATTTTAGCTTTGTTGATTGTGGTCATATTCAACTATGGAAAATGGACTTTTTGATTACTTAAGAAGATAGGGTTTTAAAAAATGTGTTTGAAGGTTCAAACGGGCACATTTTCCTCTTAAACAAATAATAGATTACAGGACTACTTACTAACAGGTTCTTAACCTTACTTGGTTTGTTTGTTTAATATAGTAGTCATGATACAGTCAGCTCAAGTATACCCACTTCTTTAATAATAGTGATTCGATTATACAGAATAAACAATAAATTCTTATATATTAGAAATTAATCATATGCTCTCTCAACTGCGTGCTCTCACGCAGTCGTCTTGTACTTCTTGTGGTTTTACAACTTTATTGTCTCTTCCACAATCCCTTTTCACTCATTAATAATATATCTTTTCTCTCTGTAATGTAAAGGGAAGGGCATTTTAACCTCTTTGGGATCAAAGACTCATTTTCTCCCTTGAATTTGGATGAAAACTGATTCCCCACTGTGCAGTGTTATGAAGCTTCCACTGAAAATCCATTCAACATCTCCTTAGGAGCTGGGAAAGAAATGAGTTTACTATTTAAATTATTCCATATCCAAATTCCCTCGGGCTATAATATACTTAAACTTCCACTGCTCTTTTTCTTTCAAAGCTAATTAAAACTGGAGATCTTTAACTAAGAAACTGTTCTAAAAACAGAGGAAGATAACTGAAACAGTTCTTTCCTGCCCACTCCTCTAATACTTTTTTGATTAACATTAAAACTTGAAGATTCTATCAGTTCAAGATAATTCCTCTTTAAATGAGTAGCTAAATTACAGGATGTTTGGCTGCTATTTCAAATTTCTTTAATAGAAATTCTATTGATTACAAAGGTACTATAAACTATGGAAAATTAATTTGATAAGAAATAAGTTTTATATGAAAATATTTGAAAACTAGATACTAATTTACCATTAATATATCTTAAATATTAATTTTTCTTAATATGGCCCTAACCCACGTATGTTTGCTTCTATAGCTTCAAAATCTTGTATTAATCTGCTCGTCACAAAAAATAATGATTGAAAATTATTGTTTTTACATAAGAATTGTTACAGACAAAATGAAAGATAAATAGAACTTTCTACCTTGAAGTGGATTTTTTGAATTGATGGATACTAAATACATAGTTGTGCAACTTCAATTTTTTTTTAATGTATTATGAATTATTTATTTTTAAAAAGTCTTTTGGGACATAAAGCCTGTTAGCTAACAATTGCAAAATGGTCTAACAATATCTTTCTGCAAAGTAAATATGAACAATTATAAGCAGAAGACTTCCTGTTCAGTTCAGACATTGGAAGATATCAC